GGAGGTTTACCTGGGTGAATTAACCCTGTGATCATTCCTTAAACACATTTTTGGCCGGATACAATGGCTTACACCTGTAATACCAGCACTTTGGGGGGCCGAGGTGGGCAGATTACCTGAGATCAGGAGTTCGAGACCAGCCTGGCCAACATGGCAAAACCTCATCTCTACTAAAGATACAAAATTGAGCCTGCTGTGGTGGTGCATGCCTGCAGTCCCAGCTACTTGGGAGGCTGAGGCAGGAGGATCACTTGAACCCAGGATGTGGAGATTGCAGTGAGCTGAGATCACACCACTGCACTCCAGCCTGGGTAACAGAGCGAGACACCGTCTCAAAAAAAAAAAAAAAAAAAAAAAAAACGAAAAACATTTTCATCAACATATTTATGATTCATGCACTTTTCCGTATTGAAGATGCTAAAGTTTGTAGGGGGCCATAGTTTTGGACAAGCTTTCTGTACTAGCTCCCAGTACACCAGACGAAACCAGAAGTAATCAAACCAGAAGTAATCAAACCAGAAGTAATCAAACCAGAAGTGCCAAGTAATGAAACTGAACTTTGAAATCAGGGCCAGTTTTCCAAAAGCAGGAGACTTGCAGCACCGTTCAGAGGGGGCCTAGTTTACCTGAGCCAGCATGACAAGGAAATCCCCTCTGTTTTAACCCTATAAGGAAGGTTACTTTGAAATGACCAATCTGATTTTTGTCCCCTGTTTCTATTTTCTTCAGCCCTTTTGTGCCTATAAAGCCAAACCCCTCTGCTCAACTCACTGGAACACTCATTCTACTTTATAGAAGGAGATGTTGCCCTATTCTGTAATCATAAGTTAAAACAAATTAAACTAAAATTACTATAATTTTGTCTTTTGACAAAGGTATACTTCAATTTTTTAAAAAGTTTGTTTTTTACAAATAAAGTAAGCATCCCCAAGTGTACTGTGTATAGCATTCAGTCACAAAGGTTCCGTTAGCGTGAGTGGATCTTAGGAAGATCTGCTCAAAGTAAGCTGTGTTTTCAGCATCACAAAAGCTCACCTCCCTACCTTGATTATTTTTGCGAGGACAGAGAGAATGTTGATGTAAACTTTGGAATGCCTTTATGGAATTTTAGGCTAGTGGTTCCCATGTGCCCCATTAGCCAACGTTTCCTGCCAGGTTTATTCTCATGCCTTTCCAAGTTCGGGAACCCCCACATCTCTACATCTCTTCTGGGTCACGGTTCCCTTTTTCATGAAGGACAGGTAAAAGCCAAGTCTCTCTCTTGCATCTTTTTATCTTTTTTTTTCTTTGAGACGTTGTCTTGCTCTGTCGCCCAAGCTGGACCAGTGGCACGATCTTGGCTGACTGCAACCTCTGCCTCCCAGGTTCAAGTGATTCTCCTGCCTCAGCCTCCGGAGTAGCTGGGACTACGGACGTGCACCACCACGCCCGGCTAATTTTTGTATTTTTAGTAGAGACGAGGTTTCACCATGTTGCCCAGGCTAGTCTCCAACTCCTGGCCTCAAGTGAACTGCCCACCTTGGCCTCCTAAAGTGCTGTGACTAAAAGCCTGAGCCACCATGCCTGGCTTGCACAGGTATTTAATAAAAATTCTGTTTCCAAATAGGAGTTTATTGACCTTAGGGGAAAATTATTTTCATAAAAATAGGTGTAGAATGAATGTTTTGCAAATTTATTTTTAAAGACTGCACCCAAATTCAATGATTTTATTGGTTCCCTTTTCAAATTCCTTGTTAAAGTCCCTCACTGGTAACAGATTCTATGACTATTTTTAAACTATGATGAAAATTAGAATATATAAATAATCCTTTAATATCCATAAGCCTTTGCTTTGCATATGTTCATGATCAAATTAAAACTTAACTTTGAGACCTCACAGGTCGACAGCACAAGCTCCATTAACAAGAGTAATACAACACCCTGATCTCCACATAGCACAGAGGCAACTCCTATTTTTTTTTTTTTTTTTAAACTGAGTCTCGCTTTGTCCCCCAGGCTGCAGTGCAGTGGCGAGATCAAGATCTCGGCTCACTACCAGCTCTGCCTCCCTGGTTCATGCCATTCTCCTGCCTCAGCCTCCCAAGTAGCTGGGACTACAGGCACCCGCCACCACATCCGGCTAATTCTTTGTATTATTAGTAGAGACAGGGTTTCACCGTGTTAGCCAGGACGGTCTCAATCTCCTAACTTCGTGATCTGCCCGCCTCTGCCTCCCAAAGTGCTGGGATTACAGGCGTGAGCCACCGCGCCTGGCCACAACTCCTATTAAAAAGAACGATGGTAATGAGGTGAGAACGTGCTAGCAGCCCTCGCGGCCTCGGAGTCCACTCTGGCGGCGCTTGAGGAGCCCTTCAGCCCGCCACTGCACTGTGGGAGCCCCTCTCTGGACCGGCCGAGGCCGGCTCCCTCTGCTTGCACGAGGTGTGGAGAGAGGCGCGGGCGGGAACGTGGGCTGCGCCTGGCGCTGCGGGCCAGCATGAGTTCTGGGTGGACGCGAGCTCAGCGGGCCCGGCACTCAGAGCAGCCGGCCAGCGCCACTGGCCCCGGGCAGTGAGTGGCTTAGCACCCAGGCCAGCAGCTGCGGAGGGAGCGCCGGGTCCCCCAGCACTGCCGGCCTGCCCGCGCCGCCTTCGAATTCTCGCCGGGCCTCAGCAGCCTCCCCGCGGGGCAGGGCTGGGACCTGCAGGCCTCTATGCCCTAGCCCCCCGCGGTGGGCTCCCGCGCGCCCCGAGTCTCCCCAACGCGGGCTGCCCGGTGCTCCGCGACGCCCAGTCCGACCCATCGACTGCCCGAGGGCTGAGGAGTGCAGGCGCGTGGTTAGTTCCGGGCTGGCGGGCAGCTCCCTCTGCGGCCCTGGCGCGGGATCCACTAGGGGAAGCCAGCTGAGCTCCTGAGTCGAATGGGGACTTCGAGAACGTTTATATCTAGCTGAAGGATTGTATATGCACCAACCAGCACTCTGTATCTGGCTAATCTGGTGGGGACTTGGAGAACTTGTTTATGTCTAGCTAAAGGATTGTAGATGCACCAATCAACACCCTGTGTCTAGCTCAAGGTTTGTAAATGCACCAGTCCGTGCTCTGTGTCTAGCTAATCTAGCGGGGACTTGAAGAACCTCTATGTCTATCTAGAGGATTGTAAATACACCAATCAGCGCTCTGTGTCTAGCTCAGGGATTGTAAACTCACCAGTCAGCAGTATATCAAAACGGACCAAGCAGCGCTCTGTAAAATAGACCAATCAGCTGGATGTGGGTGGGGTCAGATAAGGGAATAAAAGCTGGCTGCAGGAGCCAGCAGAGGCAACTTGTTGGGGTCTCTCTCCAGGTGGTGGGAGCTTTGTTGTTTTGCTTTGTGCGATAAATTTTGCTGCTGTTCATTGTGGTTTTGCACTGCATTTATGAGCTGTGGAGCTGTAAGACTCACTGCAAAAGTCTGCAGCTTCACTCCTGTAGCCCAGCCTAAGACGAGAAACCCACTGGGAGGAATGAACAACTCCATATGCGCTGCTTTAAGAGCTGTTAATACTGATGGTGAAGGTTTGCAGGTTCACTCTTGAAGCCAGCGAAACCACAAACCCACCAGAAGAAAGAAACTCTGAACACGTCCAGACGTCAGGAGGAACGTAACTTCAGACACACTATCTTTAAGAACTGTAACACTCTGCGCGAGGGTCCACGGCTTCATTCTTGAAGTCAGTCAGACCAAGAACCCACCAATTCCGGACGCAGTAAGATCTGAATCCTGCACTTAGCGGGAACCTGCGACAGGATAAGCCTGGCCAGCCCTTGGAGCCATGCAAGGTGTGGTTAAGCCGGGAGTACCATGTAGTACTGGGCTGCCCGTGGCTTCTGCCTTTCTGATCTTAGCAGTAGACGGAGGAGCGGGGTAAGGCTGACCAGTGTAGTCTCCTATCTACCTGAGTGGGTGTAAGGGGGCAGCGGCAGGAGCCCGGCTCGCAACATCGCGGGCTGGTCGGGCAGCGCGCAGCTCCCCCAAATGGCAGAGAGGGCAAATTAAAACTCTCCTTCCCTAAGTGGGAACTCGCCAGAGCGCGTCAGCTTTTGCCACGCTCCCGCCGAGCCGGTTCCCTGCACCCGTCTCTGCCAGCCGATCTCCCCGGGAGCGTGGACTCGCAGCCATCCGCGCGCTCGTGGGGGATCCGTCCAACCCTCAGCTTCCCGAGTAGCTGGATTTACAGGTGTGAGCCACTGCGCCCGGCTAATTTTTGCATTTTTGGTAGAGACGGGGTTTCACCGTGTTGACCAGGCTGGTCCGGAACTCTTGATCTCAGGTGATTCACTCTCCTTGGCCTTCCAAAGTGTTGAAATTACAGGCGTGAGCCACCGCGCCCGGCCTAAAGTCACTCGTGAAAAATGAAACTTGTGTTATTCTGACTCTACATCAAGAATAAAGACTGAAAAGAAACGCTTTTTCATCGGGCAGCAGGTCCTATGGTAACTTCTTTAAACCACTTTGGTTTGAGAACGTGATGAACCTGTAGACCCTTTCCCTCCAAACAACGCACAGTAGTATCTGTTAAAGAACAGACTGATCGACCGGACGGGGTGGCTCACTCCTGTAATACCAGCACTTTGGGAGGCTTAGGCAGGCGGATCATGAGGTCAGGAGTTCGAGACTAGCCATGCAACATGTTGAAACCCCATCTCTACTAAAAGTACAAAAAAAAAAAAAAAATGTCTTTAAAAAGCCGGCGTGGTGGTGGCGCACTCCTGTAATCCTAGCTACTAAGGAGGCTGAGGCAGGAGAACTGCTTGAACCTGAGAGGCGGAGGTTGCAGTGAGCTGAGATCGCGCCACTGCGCTCCAGCCTGGGCTACAGAGGGAGACTCCGTCTTAGAAAAAAAAACAACAACATAAAACCAGACTGATCTGTAGTTTTTGCACAACTGATCACGCCCTCCACTATCTTGTTCGGCGATCGGGGCGGTCTGGGATCCTCCTAGGCCAGCTAACCTTGCTGAACACTGGCGAGGACTCAGTCTCTGGGAATAGAATCGCGGGATGGGTACGGGGTGGCTTGGAAGTAGTTGGCTCCGTCCGGCCCGCGGGCGAGTCCGGAACACAGTTACCCACCCCTGTTACCCACCAGAAAGCAAAGGGAAGGGAACACGCCAGACCGGAAACGGAAGAGAAGGGGGGATGTGTTTGGCTTGGGGACGCACTGTTTCAGTTGCGCTCCTGGTTAGCTCTGTGTCTACGGGGTGTTTCCTAGAGTCTCGGTGTTTCTACCTCTTAGCACCCTTTCTTGCCACCCTTTGTCCTGTGGAAGGCCGGAGACATCAGCGGCTGCAATTGTGCTACTCGCTGCTCGGCATGGAAGGGTCAGGTACCGCAGTTCAGCGCTCTTGGCCCCGCAGGTCCTCGGGCATCCGCGTGCCCCGTCCTGTACATTGTTATGCTCCGACTTCCTAGGGTCGAAGTTACTGCGTGCTGGGTTTTAGAAGCTATTGCTTTACGTCTGAGAAAAAAATCCCAGAAAGGTAAGATGACTTGGCCAAGGTTATAGCGTGCGTGGAAAACAGAGCTCCGTTTACAAGCCTGGTCCCTGTGCCTCATTCCTCTTGTCATCACCTCCTGTCAGTTTATCCAAGCTCCAAAAGTGAAGTTGTTTTATCTTTTGCCTCCCAAGATTTATTTAATAGTCTGATTTCTGTTTCCTTCGTTTATTCTTTAGTTCGTTATTGGGAAACTTTACAGCGTGCCAGTAGTGGTTATAAACCCCGAATAAGAGCCTTGTCATCACGGAGCGTGTAGTTCCAGCAAGTAGACAATTCAAGTGCTGTGTAGTGAAGTAATTGCTGATAGTGTACGGAAGCAGACAGTACACTGTTCATCCAACAAGTAATTGCTGGAAGAGCAAATAGGGACACCTAACCATTGCAGGGGCGACTCGGGATATCCTTTCTGGAAGAAAAGTCTGATGAAATCTGAAGGACCACTGGTTGAAGTTAGCCAGGAAAGAAAAGGTGTTGCGGCATACTTGGTTTTGCTATTTATCCTCCGAGAACTTTATTATTGTGAAAGCCTAAATTCCACTGCGTAAATTCCATGCATAACACTAAGAAGCCAGTTTGGTTAAGTACAGGGCTGAAGCAGGTTGGTAGCAGTGAAGATGGGAAGGACTAGCTGAATGGAAGAGAAAAATTGCAGAGGTAGAATTAAGGGGATGTGACATCATGGGATAATGGTAGGGTGGTCAGAGAGCAAAGATTTCAACTGGCTGCTTTGGAGGATTAGGGTATCCTTAATTTTAGCAGAAGAATGTAGAGCTGGCGTTGAGAAAGGTTTTTTACCTATATTACAGTTTTTAGAAAACAAAAAAGAAATCTATGTCACGGGGCATTTTAATATAGAAGTGTGAAAAATGGAAAGTCAGTCTGAAAGGGGACGTCTTGAATGTCGTTTTGAAGGTGTTGCGTTTGAAGTACTGATGAGATGCTGTGAGTGGAAACAAACTCAGGTGGGAGGGTAGGTTTATAATTTTATTATATTAGTGTTACGGAGTTAATTATACATGATTTTCCTGTAATGTAGATTGCTTTCTGTGGTGTGATAGCAGTCTTGAAAGAAAACACTGTAGTCAAGATTATATGTGAGATTCATTCCATTCCCCTGATTACCACCTTTCTGTTAAAATACTTTTAATATTAACTTTATTTATTTATTTAGAGCCAGAGTTTCACTCTTACTGCGCAGGCTGATCTTGACTCACCGAACCCTCTGCCTCCCATGTTCAAGTGATTATCCTGCCTGTATAAATGGGACTACAGGCATGCGCCACCACACCTGGCTAATTTTGTATTTTTAGTGGCGATGGGGGTTTCTCCATGTTGGTCAGATGGGTCTCGAACTCCCGACCTCAGGTGATCTGCCTGCCTCAGCCCCGCAAAGTGCTGGGATTACAAGCAAAAGCCAGTGCCCCCAGCCAACTTTATTATTGTTATTATTATTATTATTATTATTACTTATTTTTGAGACAGAGTCTTGCTCTGTGGCCCAGGCTGGAGTGCAGTGGCACGATCTCAGCTCACTGCAACCTCTTTCTCCTGGGTTCAAGCGGTTCTTGTGCCTCATCCTCCCGAGTACAGTAGCTATGCTACCTATTTTACTTAATCCTTACAATCTTAAACACAGGCGCATGCCACCACGCTCGGCTCATTTTCGTATTTTTTAGTGGAAACGGAGTTTCATCATGTTGGCCTGGCTGGTCTTGAACGCCTGACCTCAGGTGATCCACCCCCCTCAGCCTCCCAAAGTGTTGGGATTACAGGTGTGAGCCACCACACCCAGCCAATATTAACTTTAAATGTAAAGTAATAATTCTTTTCCTAGATTGTATCATATATTGAGTATTATGAGAGTCCTGTGTACTTAGTATGAGGACACTAGTTTGGCAATTGTTTTGTCATTCTGATTTGAAAGTGCCTGATTTGATAGCCTCTGACGTTTTCATAAGCACATCAGATAGTTTCAGCATTTTTTGAAATTGCATTTTCTCTTTCATGCAATTATCCTTAGCCTGTGGCTACCATTTTCCAGCTTTAAGAACTTGATATAGTATTTAACCCAAAGTCTGATACAGGCTCTTGAGCTCACCTGCATCAGAAGCACCTGGGTCTTAGTTAAAATGCAGTTCCCAGAACCCCATTCCAAACTTAACAGACGAAGAATCTCAGGAATCTGTGTTTTAAGTCAGCTGCCTATGTGATTTGTATAACCTCTAGGGATTCATAACCACTGACTTAACGTCTAGGGGTAGCAGTTTGTTCTGTAAACGAGAATAATAAAACCTGTCCTTTAAGATTGTAAGAATTAAGTAACATAGGTAGTATAGCTACTGTAATGGAGTCCCCTGACCAGCAACATTAGCAACACCTGGGAGCTTATTAGAAATGCAAATTCTCGAGTGTCTCCTGGAAAAAGCTACTGAATCAGAATAGTTTGGTGGGACCAAAGAATGTGTATTTTAAGCAAGGAGCATAGATAATTTCTATGGACCAGGCACAGTGGCCCATGCCTGTAATACTAGCACTTAGGGAGGCCTAGGTGGGTGGTGGGAGTTCTAGGTGAGCAGATTCCGGGAGTTCTAGGTGAGCAGATTCCAGGAGTTCCTGGGCAACATGGGGAAACCTGTGTCTACAGAAAATTAGTCCTAACTGCTCAGGAGGCTGAGGTAGGAGGATCGCTGGAGCCTGGGGATCAAGGCTGCAGTGAGCCAAGATCACGCCACTGCACTCCAGCCTGTGTGACAGAGCAAGACCTTGTCTCAAAAAAAAAAAAATAATTTCTATGCATATTAAAGTTTGAGAAGCAGTGCTATAGCACATCAGCTTCATAAAGGTAGAGAACATGAAATTCGTATTTACTAATATATCGTCAGTATCTAGTATAGTGCCCAGCACAGGGTAGATATTCACTATATTTAATGAATGATTTTTAAAATATACACGCTTACTGAAACCAACACATTCAGAATTTAAAGTTCTTCAGTAATCAAATACCAAAAGAGATTTTTAACCCCACAGAATAAAATTGGATATATGGGTTACTTAGAATTAGGATATCTTTTGCATGAGTCTAATATAGACATAATCATTTGTGGTGTTCTCTTTCATAAATGTATCTAATGAAGAAAGCAAAAATGACATTTCTAGCCATCGATTATTCTATTTTCTGTTCCATTTTAGCTTCGCTTACAAGTGGTTATGGGTTAAGTCGCATGTGGCTCGATGAAAATGTTGATCAGATTAAAATAACACCCACTCAGTTTTTGAAAGTAATCTTTTTGATTATTTTCATATTTAATTACAACTTTTTTTTTTTTTTTTAGACAAATCTCATACTGTTGCCCAGGCTGGAGTGCAATGGTGTGATCTAGGCTTACTGCAACCTCCGCCTTCCGGGTTCAAGCGATTCTTCTGCCTCGGCCTCCTGAGTAGCTGGGAATTACAGGCACATGCCACCACGCTTGGCTCAGTTTTTGTATTTTGAATAGAGATGGGGTTTCACTGTGTTGGCCATGCTGGTCTCAAACTCCTGACGTCGTGATCTACCCACCTCGGCCTCCCAAAATGTTGGGATCACAGGCGTGAGCCACTGCACCCAGCCTAATTATAACTTTTAAAAGAGGTGTTATATTGTGTTAAGATCAAGGACTTGCAGTCAGTCAGATCTGGGTTTGAGAATAATAAATTGTCATTTATTAACCATGTCAGAGTTTTTCATTTTGAGACGGAATCTTGCTCTGTCACCCAGGCTGGAGTGCAGTGGCACGATCTCGGCTTACTGCAAGCTCCGCCTCCCGGGTTCACACCATTATCCTGCCTCAGCCTACCCAGCAGTGGAGACTACAGGCGCCCACCACCATGCCCGGCTAATTTTTTTGTATTTTTAGTAGAGACGGGGTTTCTCTGTGTTAGCCAGGATGGTCTCGATCTCCTGACCTCGTGATCTGCGTGTCTCAGCCTCCAAAAGTGCTGGGATTACAGGTGTGAGCCACCGCGCCCGGCCAACCATGTCAGAATTTTTCTAACGAACTCGGGTAAATGGTGGGAAGGAACAAATTTAGGAGCACCAGCACCCCCAGACCTCCCCTGGCCACCCCAAGGAGCAGGTGATCAATATCTCAGCACACCTCTACTTACTTGTGGCACACCAGTGTGTCTTAGGCCTTAGTGAGCTGTGAGGTGTATGACCTTAGGTAAGTTACTTCTCTCATTTTCAGTTTCCTTATCTACAAAATGGAGACCTTAGGGAGTTAATGTGGGTATGAGAAATGTACATAAAACATATTGCACAAGGTGAGGCTTGTAGTGTATGCTAATAAATGGTAAGTTGCTGCTGCTATGGTTGTTAACAATAACTATAAAAAGCACATGGAATGGGCTTGAATTGAAAAAAAAATTAGACACATAGTTTTTTCTTTATTAGCCTGCATTGTATTTTTCTTTTCTTTTTCTTTAATGCATCTTTCTAGGACAAAAAATAATATCCAAGGATATTTTGGCACTAATCGCGCGATCTGTAGCAAGAAAGTTGAGCAGTCTGAACTGTTGAGACTTCCAAGGAGACTTCAGAGAACCAAGACAGTGTAAAGGAAAACAGGAAAAAAGACTTGTTAGACATTATTAAGGGCTCGAAAGTTGAATTGAGCACAGTAAATGTACAAACAACAAAGCCACCCAGCAGAAGTCCCCTTAAAAGCTACAACTGGTGGGCCTCAAAGAGCTGCAGAACATGCTCCAAAGAAGAGGTAAATTTAATTGTAATTTGAATGTTGTTTGAAACTAATTTTTTTTTTTTTTTTGAGACAGAGTCTTGCTCTGTCGCCCAGGCTGGAGTGCAGTGGTGCCATCTCCACTCACTGCAAGCTCCGCCTCCCGGGTTCACGCCATCCTCCTGCCTCAGCCTCCCGAGTAGCTGGGACTACAGGTGCATAACGCCATGCCCGGCTAATTTTTTGTATTTTTAGTAGAAACAGGGTTTCACCGTGTTAGCCAGGATGGTCTCAATCTCCTGACCTTGTGATCCGCCCGCCTCGGCCCTCCAAAGTGCAGGGATTGCAGGCATGAGCCACCGTGCCCGGCCGTTTGAAACTAATTTTTTGAAACTCCAGTAAGCTTTTTCTTTTGGCAAAAAATATTTTTAATACAAGTACTTGGGAGATGTTGAATTAATGAAGAGTAAATATCAGCTTGTAAACACAGGGACTCTAATAATTACTTGAGAAATGCTGTGATTGTATTATATTTAAATAACAAGAGGATATCTGTACACAATCCAGTGAAAGGAAAAGAGGAAGTGATCTCATTGAGAATTCCACACTCTTACATATTTATCGGTGTTATTAACTGCCACTTAACTGCCTCTTTAAGCTGCTAATTAACACTATCATTTACTTCTTGATTTGAAGGTAGCCTCATGTCTGTAAAGGACTTGCTTATTTGAAATTTTCAATTTTAAAGGATTTTTTCTGGAATAAAGTTTTAGCATGTTGATTACAACTGCTGTATATGACTTCCTTTCACCAATAACTGTCAGTGCTTTCAGCTTTCTTGGCTTCCTCAGAGCATTATAATTACTTGTGCTTGTCAAAAGGGTATTACATTTAATTCTAAGTGCAATCAGTGGTATCTTGGCATTGTATCGTAGGTTAAATGGCAGTATTTTTTTTAGTGATACATAATGATGTATTTCAGTGATGTCATTAATTCAAGTAGTGAGGTGTGTGGCTTCAGGATACCCATCACTGACTTCTCTTATCAGAACAAACAGATAATATAGGCTTCTGTTTCCCAGAATGGTTTAACATTTTAATGGAACCTCTTGGTTTCTACATGGTATCAAAAATACCTCTAGAAAGTATAATTGGGTGGTAGAGTGTCCGGAGCTGCACGCCCCGGCCATAGCGAATAATAACTGACGATTAAAAACGCCTGAGCTCTATTCATTTCCACCTTCTACCTCCTCCCTAGATTTACCTTTTTCCCTGTATTAATACCTCATAAAAGATGGCGCTCTTCCTGCTTCTTCTTCACCCATTTTTCCCGCGCCCATGAAAATTACTACCTGACAGCGCAGGTGCAACATGACGTTCGACCAGAGAAACCAATACCTATCTGGCCACGCCTCCACTATGAGATCATTTTCGCCCTGGCCCAACCCCTTTCCCTCCAAGTGTATATAAGGCACTGCATTACCGCCATTAAAAGAGACTTGATCAGAGCACTGTCTTGTCTCCATTTCTCGTATCTCTTGTTCCCCAAATTCCCACCCCCTCCTCCAGGGCCTGCTTCGACTATCCCGCGGGCCGGGATACGTGGTGCCCGAACAGGGACCTGGAAACGAGGGACTCTGTGAGGAAGAGGACGCCAAAGGATGGTCGACCGTTAACATAGACAAAAGGAATTAAACTGATCACCGCGGGAACCTGCCGCGTCAGGATCGAAGAAAATGAAGCCTAACATGAGATTCCTTTGGAGAATAATCGCTCTATATAACATAGTGACAGTCTATGCAGGTTTTGGTGACCCTCGTAAGGCAAGAGAATTATTACGAAAACAATACGGCCAGCCTTGTGATTGCAAAGGGGGACAGGTATCTGAACCTCCGTCAGACAGAATCACCCAGGTGACTTGCTCGGGCAAGACAGCTTACCTAATGCCAGACCAGTCATGGAAATGAAAAGTGCTGTTTTTACGCCAACAAATCCGGAATCGTCAGAGATAAGATAAAGACTTTACAGGAAGAACTAGAAGAGCGCAGAAAAGGTCTGGTCGCTAATCCCTTGTGGACTGGACTCGATGGACTTCTCCCCTATCTCCTGCCATTTCTTGGTCCTTTACTTACTCTTCTACTCTTTCTCACTCTCGGGCCTATAATCTTTAATAAGCTTATGGCATTCGTCAGACAACAAATCGAGGCCTTCCAGGCCAAACCTATACAGGTCCATTATCATCGCCTTGAGATGACTGAAAATGGTGAGTCTTATTTGCCTTAATAAGACCACCTCCCCTGTGTGCTGAACTGGACAGTCAATGACGGGTAAGAGGACACTATCTCCATCGGAGCCTAAGACAGGAGGGCCGCCCTTGCTGCTGCCTTATCCCATGACGGGCCTAGAAGGTGGGGATGAGTTGACCCAACCTAAGACAGGCGCAGTTCCCGAGGGGTCGTTTTCTCATCATAAAATAATTAAAAGGGGACCTGTCCGGAGCTGCACGCCCCGGCCATAGCGAATAATAACTGACGATTAAAAACGCCTGAGCTCTATTCATTTCCACCTTCTACCTCCTCCCTAGATTTACCTTTTTCCCTGTATTAATACCTCATAAAAGATGGCGCTCTTCCTGCTTCTTCTTCACCCATTTTTCCCGCGCCCATGAAAATTACTACCTGACAGCGCAGGTGCAACATGACGTTCGACCAGAGAAACCAATACCTATCTGGCCACGCCTCCACTATGAGATCATTTTCGCCCTGGCCCAACCCCTTTCCCTCCAAGTGTATATAGGCACTGCATTACCGCATTAAAAGAGACTTGATCAGAGCACTGTCTTGTCTCCATTTCTCGTATCTCTTGTTCCCCAAATTCCCACCCCCTCCTCCAGGGCCTGCTTCGACTATCCCGCGGGCCGGGATAGTAGAGTAAGCTAATTCAGACAATCATTACCCGTAATAGGTACTTCCTCCTCCTCCTACTCCTTTGGAAACAAAACAGTTATATAAGTATATGGAAGTAAGTAACACACGCAAACATATATAAATACTTATCAAGAATGGCATTTTTAAGGCTCCCAAACCTGTTTATGACCCCGATGCCCTTTATTATAATTTAATTAACTACTACAGAAATGGTAAAGTGAGTTGAATGCTTTGGAAAGAGTAAAGGTCACATAAAAAATTTATTTCCAATTAGGCATGAGTGAAACAAATATACATACGCAGGAGCATCATACCCTTAGATTGCTTTGTAAGCTTTCTTACTTTCTCACTCCACTTTTCCACTTAAACCAAAATTGAAAATACTGCAGGATGGGTGTGATACATATAAAAGATATGTCTTAGAACCTTTTATCAGTGGTCCTATGTTTCTAAAAGAGGCTTTGGTCCTACATCAAAAGATTGGTGAATGTGGTGCATTTGTTTTGAGTTTTTGGAAGGTGTCTTTAAATGATTTTTGCCTCCCCTCCCCGCTTTTCAAGGACTCCAGGGTGCATGGAATTAGATTAGTCATGATCTTTGCTTCATGAGGCACTGTCATCATAGTTTCATGCACAGCCTGCTTTTCTTTCTTTGTATTGTATATTAAATCCCCATTGATATGGTTACCATGGTTACACTACTTCCCAAACTTAGTGGCATAAAACATTCACTCATTATGCTCTCAGATTCTGTGGGTTAGCAATTTGGCTGGAACACAGTGGGGAAGGCCAGTCTGTGCTCTATGATATCTGGGGCCTCAGTTGGAAGACTTAGTAGTCTGAGGCTGGAATCATCTGAAGTTTGCTCACTCATAGGTCTGGCAGTTGATGCCGCTGTCAGCTGAGACCTTAGCTGAGGGTGTTAGCAGAAACACCTACATGTGGCTTTCTTTGTGGCCTGGGCTTTCTCGCCGCATGGTGGCTGGAGGATTTTGATAAATGGATAAGCCCATGTGACCCACACACTTAACCAAGACACTGTGTTTCCCATTTTCACCTTCCCAGTCAGTAGCCTTCTGTCCTGAGGCAATTGCTGCTTTGTTTTTTCACCTCAGATTAGTTTTGCCTGTTCTAGAACTTGATAGAAATGGAATCATACAGAATATATTCTGTGTCCAACTTCTTTCACTTGATCTAATGTGTATGAGAGTCATTCATGTTGGCATAAGCTGAGTACTCTTCCATTGCTTGGATACCTCACAATTAGTTTTTTCTTTCTAATAATAGACCTTAGGTTGGTTACAGTTTGGGGCTATTATGAGTAAAGCTGTGAACAGGTTAAGCTGCCTTAATATTTGCTTGTAATATGTATTGTTTTTGAAATGCGATAGCATCTAGTTGAAAATTCCACTAATTTATAATTTTTGAGGCTGATCCCTCATCCCTCCACATTAATATATTGTTCTGTGTTAACATTTCAGAGTTTATTTAAAACTGGTACCTAATAGTTGAGATTTCTTGCTTTTGTCAGAAATTGAATTGAATGATACTTTTTTGATCAACAGAAAATTTTCCCCCCAAAATCATTTCACTTTTCACTAAACTAATGGCATAGTAAGCAGTCTCTCTTTCTTTCTTTCTCATTTGGTTTTCATTTTCTTTTTCAGAAATGAGCCCCTGAGTCCTGAGTTGGTGGCAGCTGCATCTGCTGCCCTCTTTTGACAAACAAGCCAGAGCTGCTCAGGCAGCTCCGTAGCATGAGGAAGAGTCGGGCACAGAGAGGTGGAGAAAGACCTAAAATTAGGTAAGTGAATGAAACCATTAGGTCAGTAATGTTTATATCTCAAAATAGGCCATTTTCATGTGGCTAGTAAGTAATACATCTCAGCTCACTGCAACCTCTGCCTCCTGGGTTCTAGTGATTCCCCTGACAGCCTCCCCAGTAGCTGGGATTACAGGCACGCGCCACCACACCCAGCTAATTTTTGTATTTTTAGTAGAGATGGTGTTTCACCATGTTGGCCAGGCTGGTAACTCCTGACCTCAAGTGATCCACTCACCTTGGCTTCCCAAAGTGCTGGGGTTACAGGCGTGAGTCACCGCACCCAGCCTAACCTGTCTTTATAGCAGGATATGTCCACAGTTGGAGTATTTTCAATACATTGTGTATTCCGTGGATTTGTTTTTTTTTTTTTTTTTTTCTGAGACGAAGTCTCTGTCGCCCAGGCTGGGGACTAAGAGTTCAAGACCAGCCTGGGCAACATAGTGAGATCCTTTCTCTAAAAAATAGAAAAAAATTATCTGGGTATGGTGGTACATGCCTACAGTCCTAGTGACCTGGGAGGTTGGGGTGGGAGGATCACTGGAGCCCAGAATTCAATGCTGTAGTAAGCTACGATTGTGCCCGTAACACTCCAGCCTAAGCGACAGAGCGAGACCCCCTCTCAAAGGGGAAAAATAAATGTTGTATGTGATACATAAGTTCCTAGGCCAGCCTCCAATGGCTCACTTAATCTTTCTACCAGTTACTTATATGAACTTCTGATTTTCCCCCTATTTAATAAACTATATTAGAGGCTAGATCTCATTCATGACTGTATACCCTGTAGCATCTACTCATGTGGATTACAGATCATAGGAACTAGTTATCTTAAATTCTTTTTTGAACAAACTGTACTATAAAATATACATCTATAAAGGAAAGTAGTTAATTCAATTAACGTTTGTTCATTAGAACTGAAGGTGAAGCTAAAAGAACAACCCCCTGTATTACAAAAACTGCATTCTGTTGTGTATGATAAAAAGGAAATGCAAAATGCATAGGGACAATGAATCACCTCTCCCCTGCTCAAATGGTGTCCGTTAAGTGTGCATCAGAAAGGAATTTTTTGTCAGGGCAGCTGCTGTTGTCCAGCCAAAAGAGACACTTGGATTCTTGAAGAAGCCAGCTTGTTTTTTAAAATTAAAAAATCTTATTTCTAAAACTGAAATTAGTTGGCAAGGAGGCATTGAAATTTTATGTATTTTATAAAACAGTATCAAATGATTATACTCTAGTGAGGAAAGCAGCACACAAATTTATGTAATAATATGATGAAGGTACTGTTTGAATGTGCTGTACTTGCATGAGTCTAAAGAATGTTTCCAATTAAGTACAAGAATAGCAAAATGTGGAAACTTAAATTTAGCAGTTGTTCATTGTTGTTATATTACCATCCCAAATAATGTGGAAATATAGTTGGCATTCAGTGATTTTTTTATTGACCGATTGAATGAGTTATTCTGTTCCATGATTCCTACGTCTTGTTCCCCATTAAGTTCTTACCACTACTACAAAGGATATAGTCATAGGCCCTACTGGTTATCCTAAAATCGACAGGCAGTATAACTTAACGGAAAGAGTGTTGGTGTTATGTAGAACTGGATTCAAATTCCGATTTTGCCACAGTAACCTTTCCCCACCTATAAAATGAGGGTTAGTACATACATCTCCAGGATTAAATGAGGTTATCTGAGAAGTGTGAGGTACAGTGCCTGGAACATAGTACACATTTAATAAATGTTTGCAACTATTAGCAAGTGTAAAATATGATCCTAATGATGATGGAAAAGACATAGGTTGGACAGTGTCTACCAAATAAAAGATAACTGTGAGATAGTTATTTTATTGGTGTGATTGCTCTGTAAATGTGGCTAGTTAAGCCTGACAACTGTGATTGTTACCCAGTGTCAGATGATCTAGGCGAAAATACTTAATATCTGCCAGTCAGTGTGTGATTAGAGACATTTCTGCACTTAAAGGCTCATATAAACCGATACAGAAAAAGCAAATAGATAAAATAAGGCTTACTCAGGTAGAAGAGTAAATGAGCTGTTTGTTGACATGCTTTAGTGGGCTTGACAAAAGTGTGTAAACAGGTAGGCTGGAGGATAAATTATATGTAATCTATGCCTCTAGCCCAGAAAGGTCAAAAATGTTTGAAAAAATAATTAAGGAACAAAAATACAGGGAAAAAAGTAGCCAAGGGACAGATATTGATACTCATTTTCCTTTTACAACTTTATTAAGGTATAATTTGTGTTCAACAAACTACATACATTTGAAGTATATAACTCAAGTAGTTTTGACAAATAGATACACACATGAAACTGCCACTTACAAATCTGAACATTTTCATGACCCTTAAAAGTTTCCATATGTCCTTTTGCAACACACACACACACACACACACCCCCAATGCAGGCAACCATTGATCTGCTTTCTGTTAAAATAGATTAGGCTGCATCTCTTAGAATTGTACATAAATGAAATCACACAGTATATACTCTTGCATCTGGCTTCTTCCACTCAGCATAATGATTTGAGATTCATCCATGCTGTAACATGTACAGTAATGCATTTTTATTACCAAATAGTATACAGTTGTATGGCTGTATTACTTTTTTTTTTTTTTTTTTGAGACGGAGTCTCGCTCTGTAGCTCAGGCTGGAGTGTAGTGGTGCGATCTTGGCTCACTGCAACCTCTGCCTCCTGGGTCCCGGTTGAAGCAATTCTCCTGCCTCAGCCTCCTGAATAGCTGGGATTACAGGCACACATCACCATGCCCATCTAATTTTTGTATTTTTAGTAGAGACGGAGTTTCACCATGTTGGCCAGGCTGTTCTTGAACTCCTGACCTCGTAATCCGCCTGCCTCGGCCTCCCAAAGTGCTGGGATTACAGCTGCGAGCCACTGCGCCCTGCCAATGTGTTACATTTTTGTACCTATTCACCTGTTAATGGACATTTGGATTGTTTCCCAAATTACAACCCACATTTGGGTATTACAGAGAAAGCTGCCATGAACTTTCGTGTATAAGTCTTTGTATGGACATGTATTATCTCTTGGGTAAATATCCAGGAATGAAATAACTATGATGAATAATAGATGTATTTTTAACTTTTTAAGAAGCCATCAAGCTGTTTTCCAAGATGTTTGTACCATTTTACGTTCCCAGCAGCAGTAACTGGTGGGAATATGGCTCATTCTCAAAAGATGATCTGAAATTTCAAAAGTAAAAAAGTTATTGAAACATGTAATATGATGGTGGTAATTAGCCTACTCATAGGGTTGGTTGTGAGGATTAAATGTACTAATCCTTTAAAAACATTTAAGCACAGAGGGAGGCACTCAGTATTCATTAGCAATTTTATTGTTATTCTGTTGATCTAACTTCTTTGGTTGTTAACAGTAGTACATTAGTGACTAATTTTGATAGAGTAAAAATAAACAGACTGTATTTTAAAAATCAGAGTCACATATTGTATAAAAATATTCATATTCATAAAAATACCTTTAAACAAAATACAAATTTAATTTTTTTCCAGTAGAAGGGGCAGTGATTACCTGGCATTGTTGTAAAACCAAAGTTAAGCTTGACATTATTGTAGTTATAGTCTTTATGTATTTATTTATTTTTTGAGATGGAGTCTTGCTCTTTCACCCAGGCTGGAGTGCAGTGGCCTGATCTTGGCTTACTGCAACCTCCACCTCCCGGGTTCAAGCAATTCTCCTGCCTCAGCCTCCCAAGTAGCTGTGATTACAGGCATGCACCACCATGCCCGGCTAATTTTTTGTATTTTTTGTAGAGATGGGGTTTCACCATGTTGGTCAGGCTGGTATTGAACTCCTCACCTTAGGTGCTCTCCCCTCCTTGACCTCCCAAAGTGCTGGGATTACAGGCATGAGCCATGGCGCCCAGCCTAGTTAGAGTCTTTAACACAGTTTTTGTTGCAGTTACCTCTCAGTGATACAACTTTTTATTATATACTGTAATTAAGAGTGTCAAGATATGAAAAATACACAATCCAGGATTGGTTATAACATTTTTTAAAAAGGTATTTACACTGACTTGTTCTTATTTAAAATGTCTTACACAGACACATCACCTTCACTTTGGGATGTGGAATTTGCTAAGTAGTTAGCCACAGAAAATGAACACCCCTTCAGAATGGGTTTGAAGAGCTGATCCACTGGATGAAAGAGGGGAAACTGGGAGTTCCCAATTAACAGTGAAGCAGGTAAGTGTTAATTTCAGGGGTTTCTAAAATTCATTGAGATTATTTCTGCCAGATATTCACTTTTAGAGTGTAGATACTTAGATGAATTTCAAAACACTGTGTAGGTATCTTCACGGTGTCCTAAAGAGAGTAAGTTGCAGCAGAATGCATGCAATATAATAGAATTTTATAAAATTCGAAAACCAAATTTTGAATATACTTTGTTAGCTCTAAAGGTGATAAAACTATAAAGAAAATGATCACCATAACACGGTATTTCAGGAAGGCAGAGTAATTGAGGAGGGACACCCAGGGGCTTTGACAGTACTATCATTCTGTTCCTTAAGTTGGACGGCAGGTTCACAGGTGGTCATTTCATCATGCTTTTATGTTGTTATATGTTGTATATATTATAGTATATGTTAGCTATATTATACATTATATTTTGTTTGTAACAGTGTTTCATAATATTTTAAGGAATGAATGGAAATGGCACATAATGAAGATATGCAGTGCCTAGCCATCAGTAGAATCCCAGCATTATCAGATTCCAGGATAATTCCAGTACAAAAACAAGCAAACAAAGGACATCTTACCTAGAATGCAAAGACCGTTTATATTCTAATAAACTGAGACATTCAAATAGGAAATCCCTCTTTTAAGGATGGCATTTTTTATATGCTTGGAAGTTTTTTTTTTTTTTTTTTTTTTTTGAGACGGAGTCTGGCTCTGTCGCCCGGGCTGGAGTGCAGTGGCCGGATCTCAG